TAAGTTGTGGATTGTTTAGTTGCCTATCATACTATGAAATTTTTTTACCGTAGAGTGGAAACTTGTCTAACATGGCTTCTAAGTTGTCTACCACAGAAATCAGGTTGCCCTTTCACTACGAAGTTGCCTACGAGTGATCCTCAATTTCTTATAATACTATGAAAGTTGTCCATCAAGGGACCTAAGTTGCCTACAATATCGAAAAAGAATTGTGGGATCTAAGTCATCTATCATGATTTCAAATTTTAAACTATGAGGGGATGGGTGGTATGAGACCTGTGTGTTTTCCTTTTCTAGGGGAGTCTACCCGCCATCAAGGGACCTAAGCACACGGGTGTTGGCTGGCGAGCTCTTCAAAACTAAACCCACATGGATATGTTTTGATGATTTTTCTTTCTTTCAGAAAGTAACTTAGTCGCTAGATGAGACAACTTTAGTGTTAAATAGAAGCAAATCCACTTCAATTTAAAGTAACTACTTACCAACAATGAGCAACTAACTAGTAATAAAGAATAACCTTAAACAGAGGTAGACAACATCAGATCACCTTTATAAGCAACTTTCTTTCTACGAGAGACAACATTAGTGCAAAAAATAGGCAACTTCACTACACTTTCTCTTAATTAATTTTCTCTAACATTCTCCTAACTTCCTCATCGGTACTTCTAAGTTGCATATTCTCCTAGCTTCCTCACCGATACTTCTAAGTTGCATATTGTTGTTTCTAAACTGCCTATAATACTACGAAGTCATCTACCATTGATACTCTTGTGTCTGCTATTGCTAACTACGATAGGCAACTTGGTGCTCAATTTTGGCAACTTTAGAGTGTTTGCAGGCAACTTAGAAAAACAATGATAAACCACTTCACAATATTGTAGTTGCAAAGTTAGGTAACCGAGTAGCAATGATAGGCAACTAATTACCAATAGTAGGCAACTAGGCATCAATTGATAGGCTATTTACAATATTTATAGGCAACTGCACATCAATTGTAGGCAACCGACTATCAAACAATAGGCAAATGAGTAACCATGATAGGCAGGTTGGGATAATGTTAGTAAAATTCACAGATACACATAGTGTAGTGAAGTTGTTTTGTATGTAGCACTAAAGGGGCCTTATGTTTTGTGTGAATTTTCTTGTTTTTACACAAACAAACCTAACAGGAAGTCCTACTAGGCCAAAGAGAAGAAGTTGCTTCTCTATAGCATGATAGTTGCCTCCTTCACACCCAAAGTTGCCCTAAAAAATTATCCAGTTGCCCACAGTCAACCATATAGTTGCCTAAAACAAAGTATCCAGTTGCCCACAATCAACAAATAATTTCCTAAAACCATGTATCCAATTGCCCAATCCTCATGGACAAAAATATTTTACCAAGACCATTTTTTGGTAAATATCTAAATGTTTTAGATACCTATAATTAAGTTTGGGTCATAGAGGGGGAGTAAAGATTTTCTTCTCCTCGGGTGGGATCCCTTGGTGCCACCGTAGAGGGGAGCGGGTGGAACATACATATATATGTTGTTTCTACTTGTTGTTTTTGTGGTTCTTGTTTTTTTTTTGCATAAGGTTTGCCTGATGTTACTGCAAGAAGCTTATGGGGCAGCAACTCCTCTTTTAATGCATGACACTAGTTGCTTCAAATTTTACAAGAGTTGTCTGAAATCATAGCAAAGTTGTTGCATGTTTTTTACTTTTGCATAGGGGATGCATGCTAGTTTTACTACAAGGAACTCATATGGGGCAGCAGACCTTTTTTTACATGCCTGATAGTTGGACTCATTGGATGATTAAAAGTGTCTAAAGAGACCGATTCCAATATTTTGGGGCATTTTGGTGATCCACGTTGGAATTGTCCTTATGATAGGCGATTTAGAGGTGAAGCTAGTCAATTGGTAGTCATGATAATCAACTTATAAGGATCCTCCATTGATAGGTAGTCATACTAGGGGGGAAAAGGAGTTGTTTTTCTATAGCACTAAAGTTGCCTCCGATCACACAATGTTGCTCGGAAAAAAAATTCGCCAAAACCTACTCATATGGGATCTAGTTTTGAAGAACTCGTCGCGAGAAACCCAATGGTGAAAACGGATTTGAATTTTGAGATTCTAATGAAAAGTTACAAGTTTTAAAGTTTTTGGTCCCATAATAAATGCAGGTGGGATAGTTATGTGCGCGCATTCGGTTTCCTTTTTTGATTGTCCTCGTTGACGCATAGGGAGGTCATTCCTTATATGGGAGAGCGCTCGCTCCCACATACGAGCGCACGGGTGCCATCGAGTCACGTCCAAAAAATTAATGCCCACTGCCAATGAGGCTAGCCGCGAGGACCTTTGACCATGCCACCAAAAGGTGAGAATCCACTTCCAAGCCAATGAAGTGAGATGTGTGTTGGTAACGCAATCCAATTAATGGATATGTATGTTCCAAGGAGGGGAACCGCCGTATCGCTGGCCTATAGATCTTTGTGAGCCAACACGCTGCAAGGTTCCCAACACCAGTCTACGATGGATTGAAGAACGGGATGGTCGGTGCTGGCGAAGCCCTCGCGCAAAAGAAGTGGCAGTGGCATCAGCACCGAGCACCACCTTGCACCCCCGCCGCCATGAAGACGCCTAAGCGACAGAAGGTGTCCTCGCCGCATTCATTGCGACCGTGCGGGTTTCGCCGAGCAGAATTCGGGCCAGTTCTTTTGGGCGATTTTATCAGAATAGCCCTCCTCCCCAGCTTCTTCCATAATCACCACTCAATATGTTTTTTATAATTCTAGTTAATTAGACCTTAATTAGATAGGATTGTAGAAAATATATAGAGTGACGGTTCTGGGAGAAGCTGGGGTGAGGGATGATTCTGAGAGAATCGTCGAAAAGAACTGGCATGAAGACTAGGGTGGCGACGAGGAAACAAAAGGGAGGGGTTGGGGGATCGGGTGTCCCCATGTGATGGCTATGCTATTATTTTGGACATAACGGTGGAGCGCCTACATCACAGTTCACAGTGCGACATACCTGACATTTTGAAGCGAATCCGTAGCAGAACCGTCTTGACAGGAACGTCCAGCTGAGCGCGCGTACCATCGTTGCGACAACAGATTGAATTTTTTCCGTTCAAAATTTCCAGCAAGACTGGAGCGTTTAGTTGACTCGTTTGAACGCCCTTTCACCTTTCCCGTCTGATGTATCCCGACCACACATCATGGCGCCAGGCCAGCCTTGCCATCGTCGTCCGGAGACAAATCCCTCCGCCCCAAATGATTCCTTCGGATCATTCATGTGCGTGCAGTGCAGCTAAACAGCAACTTCTGAGCCGGTCCATGATGCAGCCTTTCTCTTTGATTGCACACATCATGGCGCCAGGCCAGCCTTGCCAGAACCAGTACGCCGTGCGGCCGGGATACGCACGACGGTTTGGCGTCGGCAGCGGCGCTTGCCCCAGAATGTGCTGTGCCTGAACAGAACCATGCTTGGAGTTATGCCAAGAATCATTCGCAAAGCAAATTCGAGGTTTAGTGCAGAGGATCAAAGTAGGCAAAACCAGATCGCTAATCAGCACCTAGTGAAGGACATCCTTGTTGTAAGAAAGGTACATGGATAATTGGATAGTGCCATCACGGAGAAAACATTAGAAGAATTATAAGTTTATTTCAACAAAAATCATGACAGGGTAAAGATCGCTTAGTTCCATTCTCAGCACTCAGAACCCGTAATATTATATGTACGACATTCCATCTAGACAGCAAACAACCAGGCAAATGTTGGACCCAACAAATGGGCAAAATGATAGACCATGCTCGGGTGTCAGGAGCGAGTTTGAAACCAGGCAAACCTCACATAAATGAAGCTTCTTTGTCACTGCTGAAGATTATATGCAGAAAGAAGACCTAGGACTACTGTGACCAAAAAAAGATCCAATAATAACTAAGAAATCAAGCTAAGTTCTTTTCGAGAAGAAATATTCGGGCTCAATTCCTTTAAAAAAGCAAAGCAATGCAAAAAAAACAGTTCCCAATTGCCTCCAGCAACACATTAGCTATCAGATATACTCCCATACAATCAAATATAATACTTGTGCTGGTCATTTATATATTTTTTGAGTTACAGGGAATTGGTTCTCCCATGTAGTAAATTAACATGGTGACTCTGCAGAGAATACGTAGCGGAGTGAAGTTGTTCAACCCATTTCCTCTCTCACTGGCTCAGTCTAAAACAAGTCACTAACTGATAAAACTATTTGGTAATTTTACAGTGACTGATAATTTGAGGGAGGAGCATAATCTTGTTTCATGTATGATCTCTTAAATTACAGTGACTAATTCAGCAGTAATTCCGTACAGACAGTCAGAAACAACTATTCCCACCGTCCCGAAAAAGTGTCGCTGATTTAGTACAATTTATACTAACTTTGTGCTAAATCAGCGACACTTACTTTGGGACAGAAGGAGTACTTAACAGAGGTACAGCAGGCTGCAGATTCACTTTCGTAACCGATATAGAGTTGGATACTTGTATAGCTTAAATCTCAAGAGTGGACAACATGTTAAAACCCTAATAATATCTCTACCATACAGTTTCAACCTCCGCTATTCTCCATTTCATTAATACCAGGATGTACTTCCAACATTTCATCCAGTACAAAAATAGGATGTCTGTTCTGAGACTTCTGGTTTCAGCACTTTCTAGAAATCTACACCCTACTTCGAGCTATGCTAAACTTATACAGTATGTCACCCTGATCAAGCACAGCGAAGAGAAGCAGTGCGGCTATCCAGCAGGTTGCAGAAGATCATCAGTAGATCCTAATAGTAGATAATGTAGATGCCAACAAACTGAGAGATTTAATGCATAAAGGCACCAGCATCATCATGCAAAGAAGCTTAAGACCCCATGGATAAATCTGAGTGGTGCTTGAATGAAGCAAATAATTATCCCAGCCAAGGACATCTCCGCAGGTGGAAATGTGGAACCAGTACCTTGGAAGCCACTCCATGAAGTTTCTCACACCAGAAGAAGAGATGCCAGAATCTCTCCCATTGTCTGCTCAGGTACATCAGTTCTATCATCTAAGTCTGCTCCAGACTGAAGAACAGCAGCATCCAGTACTAGCTTTCTCCTTGCAATTGCGTATATGCTTTCATCAACTGATTCCTTTGTCACTAACCTGGATAAAATAAATACTCACTGTTATCAAATTATCATCTTAAGAGTTTGATTATTCTTTTTTTTTGTTTCTTATGTGACATCTAGTGTTCTTTTTCGACTTTCAGATCATTTGGAGTTCAAGCGACCAGTATCCTTCCTTTTTATCTGAACCCAATGGAAACAGACTAAGCGGACTATGTTCAAAGGGGAATGGGATATTTTTTTAGCAGAGGACATCACATAGCAAAAGCAGGTGCAGATTGTATGACGCACATTTGAAAATAAAAATATCACCAGCTTATATAGTGCGAGGGTGCCTAACATTTTATTAAAGCGAAAGAAAAGAATTACTTCTGAAAACTACCAGCACGAGCCTCCATACTTTGAATTGCATTGGCAATGCAAAGGCAAAAACAGTAGTACCAAAAACAGAAAGGAAAAACAATCAAACTTTGTCTTGAGAAATGCAATACAATTAACCTAACTATATTCCAACAAAGATCATATTATCTAACTGCTAAGGACCAAAGAATCCGAACAAGGGTAAAAGAAAAAACTATAACCCAGAACAAGTGTAACTCGTACTATAAAAATACCATTCAAGAGCTTATAACATGCAGATGCTCCCACATTAGAACGAATGTTGTAGAGAAGTGAACCATTGTCGGAATAAGAAAAATATGAATACTTCAAAATATGCTCACCTAGTCATATGGCCAGAAACAGCAAAAATAGAAGCAGCAAAAATTAAAACAAATGTCATATTTTGAGCCGCACCTATAGATAGTGACAGGTTTCTGCTGTCCAATGCGATGGCAACGATCTTCAGCTTGCCGGTCCATCTGAGGGTTAAAATCCATGTCATGTATTATGACTGTATCAGCTCCTATTAGATTCAGCCCCTGACCTCCAGCTCTAGTTGAAAGCAAACATGCATTTATCGAAAGATCATTGTTGAAAGTGTCCACTATAGTCTGCCTTTCTATTACTGGGGTGCTGAAACAAAAGGGATTTTACCAGTTAAGAATTATAATACAATTTAATTCAGAAACTTGCTGAGGAAAGAACTAACCCTCCATCGAGACGCCTGTATGTAATTCCTATTACTTCCAGTGCCCATTCAAGGATATCAAGCATTGTGGTCCACTGGCTGAATATAAGAACTCGGTGACCATTATTTGCTAAAGAAGGTAGAAGCTCTGCTAAGGCCTGAACAAAAAGTAGGAATTAAGGTAAATCATAAATTGCACTTGAGTCCTAATATGCCTTGATCAAGGAAATTTTAGTAGTCCAGATAAAGAAAAAATATATAATTATACTATTGTGTGTTTTACTGTTATTCTTCTTTTTTCTTGGATAGGAACTGGCTAACCAGATAAAGAGAAAAAATGGTACCTGACATTTCGCCGATGCAAATACATGCTCCTCTTTTAGGGCACCCTTTGTACCAGCATCACCATGTGTAATCAACAACTGGAGGAGAAATTAAGAATTGAATGATACAAGTGTCCCACAAAAAATATACTAAGAACAAGCTAATTTAGGGCAAAAGGGGTGTGTTTCAACAGCAAAACCATCCCCTGCACAGTACAACTATTGACAAATAACAACAAATGCATACTACTTTGATGTCGCACTTAATTATTTGGCATGCAGAATGGCAGAAGAAGCTAACAAAGCAGGATAGCGAAAATCAGAAAGCAAATAAGACTCATTATAATTTAGTAAGCAAAGTGAATAGGAGGTGAAAGCAGCTGATTAGGAGAAACCAGGTAAAGAGAAATAACAATACTTGGTGGATAGCAAAATCATTGTAGTTCTTTAGCGCTTGGATTGCTCTGTCCAAGGAACATTCAAAGCCAAATGCGCCTTTAGGATACGTCAACCTTGCGATTCGTTCAACATCTTTGTCGCTGTAAATGCGCCTTATAAGCAAAGGGTGATTGGCAATCTGTGGGAGCAATGAAAAACCCTTTAAGATGGAAATAAACATCTTCCTGAATTTTGCATCACAGGATATACTCACCTTACGCAACTGCATAAAATAGTTTGATATTTGACGCTTTGGAATTAATCCAACAACATTTTGAGGATATTGGCCAGAAGATTTTGCAGTACGAGCCTCACAAATGGCACGGTACTCATTTGCGGCTCCATTATAAGCTTTAAGCTGCTCTGATCCCATGGAGACAAAGTTAACCTGTCACACGCAATCAATGTAGTTCAAACAGGGAAGATCAACAAGAACATGCAATTGCTGATGACTAAAGATAAGTCAATGTACATGTTGCGTCTTCGGGACAAGTTGCTGCATAACATCCGACTTCAAGCGCCTAAGGATGAATGGCCCTAAGATGGACTTTATACGTGAAATTAACTCATGGTCTTCTGAATTCAATAGCTTCTTGAGATCAACTTCTCCTGTGGCAAATATATCAGGCATCATGAACTCCAACAATGACCATAGCTCCTGCAGATGATATGAAATTCAAGAGCAGCTTCTTGTAAGAAAATGGCCAGCATCTGATAATTAAAGGCAGCTGAAAGGATATGGAGTTTAAACAGTTGGGGGTGCACATTTCAACTATAGCCGGATGAACCCATCATAAATTCAGTGTTATGAGTATTCATCTAGGTAAGCAGCAGACATCAAACCATAAGATGGTAAAAAATGTGAAGTTAATAGTGTTGAACCACAAGCACTGTGTACAACACAGAACCATTAGATATTAAGATACTAATTCTAAATCATATAGGTAAGAATATGATATTGAGAAACTTTAATCGGTAGCTACAAATCCTTAGTACACTTGCTGATCACACCTCCATGACTTTGTGAGTCTTTGACATGCAGGATATTGGTAAAATGTACCCAATCCATATAGTCAGTCCTTTACAGGTAGTGTTATGCTGATATGTCCTTTTATTTCTGTATCACACGGGCAGATGTATCGTGATATATTTAACTACAATGGCATCATAGGGTATCAGAGGAAAAAATAAAGCTTAAGTTGGACACTTGCATCAAGACTCACATGCAAATCATTTTGAAGTGGAGTTCCCGTCAGCATTAGCCGCTGACGAGCATGTTGTGCAACAGCCATAAGGTTTTTCCATCGGAAGCTGCCCTTATCTTTCAGCACGTGTGCTTCGTCCATCAATACACAACTCCATTTCCATCTTTTGAGTGCCTTGCGGTCATCCTTTTGTTGAGCACTGCATTATGGATCAAAGCAGCACATAAATCTTCTAAAAATATGCAGAATCACTAGTGAATCTCCATAAGATATTCTGTTTTTCCACCCTAAGGAACTACAAACCTCCGTCTTTCGAAGAGCGAGTAGCCAACAAGTAGGACATTAAATGGAGCTGGACATCCTGCTTTGCCTAAGGAACTTAACTCCTTTGAGAAGGCAGTCCTTCCAGCACCATGAAACATGATGATCGAAAACGAAGGACACCACTTCTTAAGTTCCCTTTCCCAATTTTCCAACACTGAAGCTGGGCAAACTATCAGGTGTGGACCCGGGTCATCATATAGATGTTGCAAGAGATTAAGGTAAGTCACAGCCTGTAAATAATGAGACCAAATTCAAACATTAAGAAATGAATAATGAACCGGCACTCAAGTATAGGGCAAATCCTACTAATCAGTTTATTCTTGGAAATGTCACAACAGGCTACAATCAGGTTACATTTTATAGTATGTGTGCATAATGACCAAAAGAACACATGAACAACAGTCCACGATAATAATGGACAGGTCGCAAAAACATCAAATTTGAACAAGCTAACTTATCATGCTTTAGTACTACCATATTAAGATGATTGGTTATTTTCATTTTTACTTAAAACACTGTAAGCTTGCTTACCTGGACTGTCTTGCCGAGACCCATTTCATCAGCCAAAATTGCTGTAGAAAGGAGAGAAGGTTAACATGAATAATAGTCTTTTGAGCAGGGGAAAGTTAGAACATGATAAGAAAAAATGAAAAGAACCAATATGATCGTTGACTGGTACTACTCTGATAACCTCACAAACATAATGTATGTAATGCAAGACAACATCGTTTCAGTCTTTCAGACCAGCAAGCACTAACACGGTACATTAGCACATGACAAGACAAGGTTTTCTGTACCGCATGAAAATTCTGATAGTTACAATGTAAACATTTTTACTCGGTGCACCTTTACAGTAAATTGGAATACCTGTACCTAAATTCTATGAACCAAACGGTGATCTAGTATCCAAGTGATCTACATCAAGTTAGTTTCTAATTCATACAATACAGATGTAATGATCGAACAAGACTACCAACTGCTTGTTTTAGAAGACAAAGGTTGCATAAGGATTGAAAGAATAGGATGCTCAGTGACAAGTGCCATGTTATCATGTATTTACTACTTAGCGAACTAAATGCAACTGATCATAAACAAGTGGGGTGAACTCAGATCCATCAGTTTGATGTCATGGCTAGATGTTACTGATGAAAAGGAAACAATAGTTTAACAAGCATCTTCGGGTTCAAAATTTTAATTCACAGAAAATCACCTCCGCCGATGCCTTTCTGATGCAACAGTAGAAGGAAATTGACCCCCACAAGCTGGTATGGTTTCAGCACCGGGTTGAATTCCATGTCCTCGCTTGTGCATGCGGCATCCACATCTTCCTGTTCTCATATCGCATTGCATCAAAAGACAAAAACTTGATAGTTCAAGACATGTAAACTGCATCAAAACTGACAACTGTACCTGAGTGACAATCCGGACGGTGGAGGCATCTGTCTCAGCATAACTTTCGCAATTCCGTGCTGAAGAACCATACAACTCCTGCCTCAGATCAACCGAAATCCGTGAGCACCTGCGCAATGCCTTCCCCACCACATCCCCTTCCACCTCCTCTGCCTTCACACTACTCAGCCCATTGTAGTCCCCATCTTCATCATCCTCGTTCTCCAACTCCGACCAGTTCACCCCATCATCCTCTTCTTCATCTCCTACCTCCACCACAGCAGCAGCCACAGAGCCATCAGTGTCATCATCGTCCTCGATCACGAATCGGCGACCAGTGGTGCGGCGCGGCCGTGATGACCTCGGAGCAGGGTGGTCGGAATCATCATCTGCGAGGTCAGAGTCATCATCGGCGATGTCGGAGTCCTCAAATGCGAGGTCCAAATCTTCCTCTTCCTCGGAGAGGTCGATGGCTGTTGCCAGCCGTCGACCAGTGGAAGGGCGCGGCCGCGATCTCCTCGAAGCGGGGAGGTCGAAATCGTCGTCTTCAGGGTCCAAGTCGTCTTCGGGGACGAAGTCGTCGTCGGAGAGCGCCGCGAGGATGGCGGCCTTGGAGGGTTTAGGGTTGTGCCGGGAGGACTGGGTGGACGGCGTGGCCCGCCTAGGCGGGCTTTTGTGCTGGGGACGCTTGACCACGCGCGAGCTACTCTCGGCGCGGCGCGCCTTGGCGCTTTTCCCCAGGTCGAAGTCGTCGTCGTCGTCGTCGTCGGAGAGGACGACGGCGGCGCCGTTGCTGGCGCCGACGGCGGAGGAAGACTTAGGGTCGTAGCGGAACGAATCGATGGGAGGGGGAGGCCGCGCGGGCGGCTGAGGGCTCCGGTGGGGGCGCTTGAGGACCCGGGAGGGCTTGAAGGAGTGGTTCGACCACTCGTCGTCGGAGATCTCCTCGAAGTCC